AATAAACAAAAAACTATTGTGTTTCACATCTCTGTGATTTCGCATTTATAAAAAGCACTTCTTTCTGCTGCACTTTATTCGAATCACGCGGTTGAAATTCACGCGATTGCGTCGTGTTTCTTTTTTTTTTTTTTTTTTTGAAATATGCAAATGCAAGACACAATTATCGCGGCAGATCTTGCTCGTATCAAAGACGCGGAAAGATACATATTTTTGTGTTTTTTTTTTTCTAAAATGTACCCGAAGGAGCGATAGAAATCGACGACGGAAATTGTCACGTTGCGCGGTGTAACGTGTCACATTTCACGCTGTTTGAACCGGCCTTAACTGGAAGTTTTTTGTCGTTTGTTGCTTATGCATTTTCATGCGCGGGCGCGATCGGCATTGCCGGATCGTTTGCTTTGTCAATCGGTCGACGACGACGACGACGACGGCCGCTTTAAATCGGCGCGCAAAACCACGATCGCGCGTAATTCTCTACGTGTATTGAACGTTTCTTGCGCAAGCCGAGCAATTTGCCGTGTATATTCCGAGCCCTTGAAGTACCGTGAGTAGGTGTCAACACGATTGCGTGCGTCTTATCGTCGCAATCGTCCGAACTCGAATCGCATAATTTTGCGGAATAATATTGAGAAATTTGCAATTCGATGCGTATCTCGGTGTGTGTAAAAAATTACACCGCACCATTCAATGAAAACTCATTTACTTGATATTCGCAAACTGGCAGACGAAAAATTCTGATACCGGTTCATTAACGCGCGGACGTTGTTCGAAACGTTTAATTAAGAGAGACGGACAATTTTAACTTTCAAATCTAAAATTTACGAATTACTATATCGCACACAACTGTGTTTTCAACTCGGAGAGAAAGGAGCGTTTCGTTTTTTTACACACACGTCGAAAATTTTATTTTAATTTGTGCTTCGAGTCTCTCTTTTTCCCGAGTTGTGCCACGCGCGCGCATTAATTCCGAGCGCTCGCGCGATCTCTGCGCGTCTCGTCGTGTACGCGCGCGGCGAGTAACATCTGCGGGGAATTTTTTGTAATTTTCGGTGAAAATGCGCGAAGGAAAGGAGAGCAAGAAATTCCTGCTTACACCGTGACGACACGGAGCCGGAGTCCGGGGAGTCTTCGTTATTATTTCAGCGAAACGAAGCGTGTACCCCATGCACGCTCGAGTTGGCTCGTGTGCGAGTTGTTAACTTCTTCATGCCGGCTATGTCCAATTTGTTGCATGCAGCGTCTTCATTCGCTTTTCACAGTAAATATCATTGCAACAAAAGGACAATACACTTTGTTGTTGCATAAAATATACGTACGAGTTTCAGAAAAATTTTACATCTTCCTTCGCAAACGACGATTTTAAATAATATTTTCTGTCGTACATGCAATTGTGTTGCAGCTAATAAAATATATCGAAAATATGTAATGGTACGTAAGTATATTATTATTATTGTAAGTTATTATTATTGTTGTTATATCATAAATTATGCGCATCAATTTTTTTTCGTAATTTTCACTCTGTGTTCATTGTAAAATATTAAATAAACCAATTTAATAAATAAAAAGTCATTAAAATTCAGAAAAACACAAATTAAATACCAGAAGTACTTAATATTGTTTTTTTTTTTTCGAAAGTAAAGAAACTGAAAGTTTCTTCAATTTCGAAAGAAGATTTTATATACGATATTTTTAAAATGCCGGTCGTTTTATATAGAGGCCTTCTTGGCCGATTCATTCCGGTGTGTGTCCTTAATGGGAATTACAGGACAGTAGATGCAACTACGGAGTAACGTTATCCCTGAGATACCTGGCTAGTTCTGTCGTCACGATGCGTGACGAACGCCGGTGTATGTCCATTCTGTAAAGACCGCAAGTAACTTGTTATTTGTCTGAATCGAAAACCCCAGGCGGCGCAAAACCGCGCGGATTTCTCTTTATTGTAAGAAATTGACATCCACGATTGAAACAAATGTTTCGATCTGACGTAAGAATGAGAACTACGCTACCGTAATATTTCTCCCACCTATCCAACGAATTGAAATCAATTTGAAGAAAGCTCACCGCTGAAATTAAATATCCAACGTATCCCAAATATCTTTGATCGCTTGCTGAAAAATTTTAAATGAACGTTAAACATTCCGAAAATAATTGTAAGCGGACGAATGCCGGATATTAACATTCGAGCGCAATTACGAAACGATCGGGATCAAATTGTAGCGAACACACTTGTATTTAAATTTTAAACGTCTATGTCCGTACTCGTGTCAACCGTCAAGTGTTTACACAAATATCATGTTTTTTATAATATTGATATTAAATCAATTCTCTATCATTTTTATTTTCGAGATGCTTTTATTCGCGTCTTATTATGTGTATTAAATATTGTTGTGTGAATTAATTGAAAATTCATACATGTGAGAAATACGTATTATTCTCCACATCTTTTATCCACATTTTTTACTTTATTTGGAAGTTTTGTCAACACACACAGGAAAGATGTTATTTTGTATTCGTCTATTTCTTTCTTTCTCTCTTTCTCTCTCTCTCTCTCTCTCACTTTGATCTTTCTATTTGTTCAATCAAAAAATAAACCAAGTTTCACTTATATACGATACCCTCTGTAAACAGTTTATGAGAATTAAACTTGGTTCCTTTGATCGGGAATGTATTAATCTAACACGCTGCGGAATTGCTATTTATATCCCTGATCGCTAATCGATCGAGTAGAAAAATGCGTGAGAAGCGAGTCGAGCGCGTTGCGCGCGTATAGGTCTCTTTTGCGTTACGGGGACGGGATGCGTAAGCATCTTCTTTTTTTTTTTTCCTCTTCTTCGTGTCGTGCAATAAACGTCTAACGTAAACCCGTTTCTAAGCCCGACTCGCGCCCGTGAACGCGTGACTTTGAGATATATGAGAGACTTAAGTCGAAGACCGGGCGTGCGACTTACATCGCGCGAATGCGACGATCGCGCGTCCAAAATGTTTTTTTTTTTTTTTTTATTCTTTTTGCGAACCGTGTCCGTTACGATCTGCAAGATCGAAAAAGTTTCTTGTCAATGTCTTAATTCGCCATCTTCCGTCTTAAAAAAAAAAGACGACTGAAAAATCGTCTCTTACCCTAAACGATGACGCTTGTGCGATGAATTAAACGCATTTCGAAATCTCTCAAAATGAAAATACGTTCACAAACTTGCAAAACACAACACAACTTTCTCTTGTGCCATTCATTTTCAAAACAGTGTAGTAAACTTAATGAATTTCTTTTTTTTTTTAACGTAACAAATAAATACACGTAAAACACGTTAATATTAATAAAGACATTATTTACAATAAAATTCTTCTGTTTTAAAATAAGTATTATGTTATTCGACGCCACTTTATTTTCATGATTTTTCAGTGAAAATATCAGATTTCGAATTTATGATATTAATTGCATTATAATTACGTCAATTAAGTATCGCACGCACAATGATCGCTTGAGCGATATCTTCTTGGTCGAATTTCGGCGTTTCGCTTTCTCGATCGTCGGAACGCGTAACCATCGGGCGATTATTTCACGAGGAGACGCTAATCAATATTATATATATATATATATATATATATATATATATGCATATACATCAACATATATTATATATGTAACGTAATTACAAACATAACATCGGTAGTAAAGTCGGTGCGAGACGTACGCGCGATTGTCGCGTTCCGTTACAGTACTGTTATCGTGTGTGTTTGCATGTGTGTTATTCTCTCCAGGAAATGTTTTTTCTAAAACTTGAACGTTCGAATTATTACGCAAAATAATGGTAGCTAAAATGCGGCGCAGCGTTCCATAGGATGGACAGTCTAATATTCATGGAGAGTCCTAAACGGCTGGATGAATGGCTGTTCTATATATATTACGGTGTACTGTTCATGAAAATTTCGCAACGTGTATCAGTCTCACAAAATTTAATTTGAGAGAAACAGGAAAAAATAAAAAATAAAAAATTTGCTTTTTGTTTCTCTATCTTGTTTGTCTTTGTTCAACAAATGAGAATAAACTGTAACTTTTTTTCTTGACAAGAGTTTGAAATACGATGCTAAAATATAAATAGTAATATAAGTACACGTAAATGTTTATATTCTATTAATTAGTAAAAGTTAGATTTTGATTTTTATATAAAAAACAGCTTACATACTGGAAGTCAATTTTCGAAAACCTTGCGATCTGCTTTGCCGACGAATGTGAAGCGAAGTACATCGCTTGTATATCGAGCTTGGAAACATCAGTTTCCTATTCTATTGACACACGGTATAAGTTTGCTGTTTTGCGTTTTTGAGATTTTGATCCAGTTCAGTTAATTAGTGTCAACCGAGAGATTGGCCAATTCCGATTGAATAACAATCAAGATAAATGAAAATAGAATGGGACCGGTTTTTTAATCTTTTTTTTTTAAATGACATTAATAATTCTTACAGTTAAATTTGTTGTAGATTTTGTTATTAATATCAAACATACAAATGTATTATCTACATATTTACAAAACGCAATATGTATTTTAAAGATATTTTTTTCACACACACATATATATAACAAATGTCAGTGCGTTAATTATTTATAAGTGTAAGCGAATATCTATCTATTAGTAGAATAAACATCTAAAAAAAGAGAAGATATATATATATATATATATTTCAATATCTCGATTAAATTAAAACGCGAATTTTACAAGTTTGTCGATGTATTTTCGTCACTTTAAACTCAAGGATTTTACGATTATATTTCACGAATAAATGCGGGATAAAAATTTCTTTCGACAATGAAACTAATTTATATATATATAAAATAATTTTTCTTATGAAAACAGCAGTAATTTTTCTACTCGCAACTCTTTAAACTCAAAGATTTTACGATTATATTTCACGAATAAATGCGGAATAAAAATTTCTTTCGACAATTAAACTAATTTAAAATAATTTTTCTTATGAAAACAGCAGTAATTTTTCTACTAGCAACTAATACGAATGATCAGCATTGTAAGAGATAGTACGGTATCGAATAAATATATAAAAGAAATAATACCAATGTTTGATATTATAACAGTGTTCACGTGTCCAGCACGTTCTGTGATACAAAATTAACACAGCCGTCTCGTAAACATACATGAGAGAATAGCCTCTACGAGAGATATATCTATATAAGCAAGCAGCGAGATTATATTCACGAAGGAATTTACAGCTGGTTGCTTTTTAAATTTAGAATCGCGCGCGGCTAGCGTACCAACTGTGTGCGACGATAAAAATGTCGCATCATTCACGCTTTCACGAGAGAAACTATATAAGCTGCCATTTCTTTCAGTCGCGCAATTCAAAATTATAAACTACGACAAATATATATATGTATTCACTATATATATATATATATATGTATAAACAAAATTCAATTATATGTTCACACAACGTAGAGTCTTGGATGGTATCCGAGCACTGAACTGGAAAGCGTTCTCGTCGCGAATTCGCTCGTTTACGTCCGCGCGATTGTCTGCCGGTTCCGCGTCCTCGTCCAGATCGATGACAAAGTCGCGGTTTCCCATCAGCGTGGTCAGGCATATGTTCGCTTCCTTGATTCGCGAGCGCACCAACATCTCCAGCGTGAAGAGATGCTCGTCATGCGCTTCCGGCAGGTAACAATGCATGAAATCCGCCAATCTGTTGCAAGAAATAAAACGTTCTTTTTTTCTTACATATTGAACAAATATAATTTTTATTTTCAATATATACAAATATATATATATATATATTTATTTTCTTCCTCAATAGAAAAAAGGGAAGGGAAAAGAGTGAGAGAAAAAGAGAAGAAAATAAAAAACGGAAAAAAAAGTCTTTACCGTAGGAGATACTCGGCGTTGTGTCCACTCGGACCGGAAGACTCGGCAATTTGAAGCGCGATCGTCTGCAACGACGCCTCGCCGAGCCACAGTTTGTTCTTGCTAGTAGCTATGTAAATTACCGCGGGAAATTGTTTGCTCCCGTCCCGACTGTGAAACGTTACGATGGTCGTCAGGTAACCACCGAGAGCGCACTCGCGATTCTCCAGATAGGACAACGCCGCGCTGTCCTGAACCTGGAACGCTCGTCCGTAAACCGTGCCCTGTAATCGTCGAGAAGACGTTCTACATTGCATTGTGATTTCCACATTCTTCTTCCAAAATATTGAAGATTTATAGTCATTTTGATAATTTGCTGCGTATAATCACCTCTTTTTCCTCGATCAGTGTGGCCACTCGTCCGGGCTGTAACATAAAAACAAATATCGATGATAATATCGCAATATTCACAGTTTTGTCGTTAAGAATATTTAAACAAAATATATTGAAGTATCGTATACATATATTTTTTACAATTAAAAACAATTTTTTTAACAAAAAGAATTTTTAAGTTATTAATTGATAGATTTTACGCGAGATTGCTAGACAAAATAGCTGAAAAGTCTTAATTTTTTTTTTAATTGTCAATAATTTCTACATTTTCTTTTTTTGTCAGACATTTCTCGCGTTTGCAAATACACGTTATACATCGCGCGCAATGTACATTTGTAAGCAGAAGTCCCACATTGCAAAATACATGTTGTCAAACAAAACGTAACTCGCGACAAGAACTAATCTCTCTTTTTAAAAGATATCAGTTACTACTGGTTTTGTTCTGCACTGACTACAATTTCAAGTAAACTTACACGCAAATGTAACGCGAGACGCGCGTCAGGTTCGTTTCGTTAAAAAAAAATGTGTGCAATGTTTAGAAAGAAAGAAAAAAGAAAGTGTGATTCAGAAAAAACTCTGAATACAACAAATGTTACAAAACAGCGAGATAATAGCTTTCTCTTATATTCGCAAAAATCAAAACAATAGAAAGAAGAGAGACAAATATTGCGCGCGAATTTCTTTGCGTTCAGTTTTTTAAAACAACAGGAAGGGAGCCAAGGCAAAATTTTGGCATTCAATTTGTTTTACACGCACGCGATATTATTTCACGTTTAAATGATGTCCTTCAAAAATTCCGATCCGCATATAACTTTTATCAAAATCACGCACGTATCGATAGACCTTCCTTATCCGAGCCCAGAGATACAAGTGCGTAACAAATGAACAATATGTCGCCTAAAAAAGTATCTTTATGTTTGAAATCGGGCCAGGAAAAAAGATGCGCGTTCTCATTTCTTCGAAACGAAATTGAGATAATAATAGAGTTTGCAATGATCCAAAATAAGAGCCACGTGCACAAGCGAGAGACGCATTTGAGATACGCAAAAAGTACATTACAAATATACATTACAAATATACATATTTGTCGTACTTGTCAATGACAATTTGCTCGCACCAGACTGTCAAACAGAAGTAACATTTGAATTTAACGTTTATGTAACTCGGTTTGTGCGCGTGCGATCTGCGCTTGTGTAATTTTTAACCAATAAAACTCGATATTAATGTGGCAATTAAATTGCAGATAAGAAAGATAGAAAGTGACATAACGTGTATATAACATGTAAGTGACAAGATATTATATATATATAAAAAATTATTTAAAAATTATTTAAAATAAATTTATATTCCTGTTCTCTAAATTATTATTTTTTTTTTATTCTAAAAATAATCGGTGAGTTTTTAACGTATGTTATTTACTTTTAAAATATTTAAAAATTAAATATTAAAATATTAAAATATTTAAAAAAGATTTTCGGACATTTTTTGATTATTTACCAATATGGTCTGTTATTTATTTAATGAAAAATCAGTTCTACATAGTTTACGTGTAATCGTTGTTGTAAAAGTTCTGAAAGATGCTGAACACAAAAATCAGATTCACAAACACACATACAGAATTATATTTGCGTATACAATAATGTCTCTCGCTAATGTTTGCAAATTTTCTCTCGATCATTTTTCACAAAGTCATCCTCACCAATTCCTGGAAGTGCTTCGACAAAACGAGCGTCCGCGTTATATATGTATTAACACAGATGTTAAACACTTCTCTCATCTCGCTCACACTCAATGGTTCTCATTGCTTTCGGCAATTCTCGGAAACAACACCTCCCTGGATATTTCTTCACATCGCGAAGATGAGAACATTTTAGCGTGAAACTAACTATTGTAATGTATATAAATATTTATATACAATTTATATAATATAAATATTTGTATATATATAAATTTCTATAAGACTTTGCTTGAGCAATTTAAACAGCTTTCTCTCATTAGATTGTTTTTTTATGTATTTTTGTTATCAGTAAACAATTGATTTATGAATGTGACGAATGATTTATGAACGACTGGTATTATCGCAAATAATTCATAATTCTTTGTTTTTAAGTTTTCTAATTTGAAGAAAGAGTGTGTAATTACAAATTTAAGTTTTTTTTTTTTCAAAAGTGTGCGACTTTTGTTTATTATTTTAGCGTATTGATAGGGTCGTTGCCACGCGTATTTGCTTTCACAACGAGCGCGCAGCTGTTCCGATTCTTTATCATCATCCTCGTCTGGAGCATCAAGTTAGCCGTTATGAAATCGGACATTGGCGATAGCAAATAGAATTAATAATAAATTTTTGAAGGTAAGAAAAGAATTATTTTTTTTAAGTACAAAAAATTTAAATGTGACAAACCGGTGAGATTTGTTTTCCGCTCACCTTTTCGGCGGTACCGCGATGCGTGGTGTTGCCCTGCCAGAACCGCCTGCCAAAGCCCTTGATGTATCCGGTCATGCTTTTGATATACGAGAAACCGGGATACCAGCAGAGCGATCCGTATCCAAACACCCAGAGCTGTTGTCCATCAGTGTCACTTGGCTCGTTTTCCATTTGTTTTTTGTTTTTTGTTTTTTTTTTGTTTGTTCGCGCTTTTTTCAAAGACTTCGATCAACGAGAGAGATTCGCTTCTCTTCTTATTCGATCCTTTCGCTCTATGTGTGTTTCGACTTTCTTTATCTTCTCTCGTTATCTCGTTTGTGTCGCGACTTTCGAATCAGCGAAATATTAAAACAAAGAAAATAAAATTCAAGGTTCGGAAGTCTCGTGCTCTCTTCGTCTGCTCGCGTTCCTTCTTTCGTCGTCAAAATCCACACACTTTCTCTCTCTCTCTCTCTCTTTCTCTCTTTTTTTTATCTATTTATTCATCTTTAGTAAATACTCGGTTTTTTCTTTTTTTTTTTCAAACAAGATTCGCGTCATTTATTCTCGGAAGCGTAAAGACGCGCGCGCGTTTCTTCTTATCAATATCATCATTATGCGAAACAGCGATTTCACAAAGCAAATTTAATATGTACAAATACTTATTTGTGCAATTAACTTATCGCAACGGTCAAACGAGTAGTCACTGAAAAATGCAGCTTCCCTGAGTTAAATACTTTCCTTTTTCTCCGGTCAATGAAAACTCCGTCTCTTCGTTTTGTCTTCAATCATCTTCTCGCGTAGATAAAAGTGCATCTTATTGTATTTTAAATTTTATTTAATAGGAACGTGTTTCACAACCGTGCAGAGTTTTAATTTTATATCACAAAACTGTATCCAATTGTATATAATCTCGTCTCAAGTGTATTAAGTGGTCGATAACTCTTCGTCGGATCTTCATCGATAAGCCTCGACCCATTTGACTCAAACAAGTAGCCTCGGCTGTCTCCGCGGTCTGTCACTTCTCGATCATCGAACCAGCGCTGCTGCCGCGTCCGTTTCTCGTGTATCTGAATCGCTCGCCAATTTGCCAATTCGCGAGACGGTGACGTAGGTAGGCGGCTTTTATATAGCGTCGCGCGCGGTTACGATTCTCTTTAGCAATCATCGCGGCTTTCGGTTCTGTCGCTCCATAATGACGCGTCGCGCACTTCCTGGATCGATTCTGGATCATACCAGAGAGATCACTCGACGGGTCGATGACGGACGGAAACGTTCGCTTCAGATAAACTGACTTTAATGATTTTACTTGTGATATGATGGACGATCGAGCGAGATTTCCGAAACATTTGGAAAATTTTGAAGAAAGAAAACGGCTTTCTTCCAGATGGGGGGCTTGACGAGAAAGATCTGACGAGAACTGTCGACCGACGACTGCGGTTAATGTTCGGCAAACTAGACCGGAGCGCGCGGCGAAAAGCGGAAGAGAGAGAGACGGCAAGAGTGGTTTGCGAAGAAAGAACGAAGAAGCACGGCAGAGAGCACATGTAATGGCAAGGTGGTGGGGATGGATGATGAAACAGACCGCTTGATTGACGAATCGCTCACGGATGCACGTCGTGGCATTGGCGCGGTTCAGACGCGTTTATTGACAACAATTAGGTGTATTGAGAAGAAAATGTGTTGGTAAAAACAAATTTTTATATCATGTACATTTTGAGAAAAAATCTTTCCTTCAAAAAAAAAACAAACAAACAAATTTCTTACACACACACGCGCGAATTGAAAAATAACGCATCAAATTTTACTTGAAAATGTCGTCGATAGAGCAACATAGGCTAGTTTCGAAAGGTTTGCGAGAATTTATTAGAGAAAAAATATTCACACGCATTTTCAAGCGTTGATTTATTTAACAAAACGCAAGTTTGTGGTTTACTCTATTATTATTTTTTTTTTTTTTTTTCATAAGTATTTAAATTTCCTGCAGATATAAGATAAGCCGTTAGATTTACAAAGCAAAGAAAAATGATACACGATTAATTTACAAAACAATGTTACATAGTTAATATTAAATGTGTTATCTCTCCTGAGCTGTGTCGGATTCGGAAAACAATTTATCCAACAGTTCTGTACATATGTCTATCTCGTCCTGGTTTTCCTCGGGGTTTAGTTCTGTCATTAATTGTCGCAGAATGGATTTCAGGCACAACTGCGACCGGCGACATTCTTGCAACGCCGGCAAAAAGTTATCATTCACCATACCACTGAGAACTCTTAATAACTGTTCCCTGTGATAAAAATGAAAATTTTTTCCATTTAATAAATAAAAACACACAATCACACAATATATCTGTTTTACACTGAACGTTATATGTTACCTAATTGTGGGTTGCAAGTTTATTCTACCCAACAGTCCTGCTGCTTGCTCTATGAATCCCATCTTTATTAAAGTAGTTTTTATGTCGCTCGAGTCGTCCTTGCTGCACAAACTGGAAAGCAAGAACGCGGATTTTATCTGCAGTTTCTCCACCGAGCTCTGCATTGCTCGCAAGAGCACCGAGTAACCGTCGTGTTGGTCCATATATTTTAACGACTCGGGATGTCCTCTGACTATACCTGTATTCAAAGTATGTCAATGTAAAAAAAAAAAAAACACAAAATCTTCAAAAGTACGAGAACAAGTTTTGTATTTTTCTATTTCTTACACGAAACTGCATAAAGGGCCTTTATTCTCGCTTGTTCCGATGGATCCGTGTCGATTATAGACAACAATATAGGAAACACTCCAGCTTCTAACAACTTGTCCTGACAAAATGGATTGTTTTGTGCTAACTCCGCTATAATATCGGCTACACGCCATCTGATATTGCTGTGTGGAGAGTTCAGACATGGTTTAAACACTGAGAAACCACCGATGTTATAAAAATCGTTAGCTATGTCAATATTGTCTACAAAGTCTGCCAGTCTTTCCAATGCATTCTCATATTCCAACGAATCTTCGTCATTTCGTAGATTGCCAACATTAGACAATATTTCCACAGCTTTCTGCAACTCGTCTATTATGTTCACAGTTAAAGACGACAGTGCTGCATTCAAGAATGATTTTTTCTGCAATGTAGAATTACAACTTAGTACGATATCGATGACAAATCAATCAAATATCAAATAAATCAAGTTGCATACTTCCTCATCCAAAGGATAGACCGGTGATTTGTTCTCAGCATTTTCGGACTGTGCTGCTTCCATGGCAAATTTAAGCAGTCCTTGCAAATTACTCGGCTGTCTCGGTTGATTCGGCAGAGGTTGTGGCGGAGAGGGTGGCTGGACATTGTTGGAGGTGGAAGGACCTTCGATAGACAGCGGTCTCGCGATGCTGTTCGTTTGATTCTGCTTGACATCCTTCTTGGTTTCTCTATCTCGAGAACTGTGACAAGTATTATTATGTTCGGCAACACGAAACAAAAGTGGTTAGGTTTTGAGAGTGTGTAGATTAATTTTCACATATCACCTGCTCATGTTGATGTTATTCTGTCTAGCAAACGCTGCGCCCATTAATCGACTCACACTTCACATATATAGATCTCTTCACTGCGAACTGTTCAACTGTTTATGGTCATTCTCCACATTGCTTTTTATGGAAATCTCGTCCTCGTGTTTACAGCGCTGACAATGCTCCAACTTCCAACTCCAGAAGATTCGAGAAATATATCGAAGCATTTAAAGCCGAACAGATGTGCGATTCTCGATACATCAAAGTGCGATACTTGCGATTCTTAAATGTATCGAGTTGATGTCGATACATCAAAGTGCGATATCTTGTGATTCTTAAATGTATCGAGTTGATGTCGATACATCAAAGTGCGATATCTCGACTCTCGATTAAAGTGACTATTTGGGCTGCGGTCCGTTTCATGCTTAAGCGCACATTTATCTATAGTATACGTGACATATACTACAGATAAATGCGCGATTAAGCATGAAACGGACCGCAGCCTTGGACTCGTGCACATAGCACAGAATGGAACCGCGCGCTGTGGACATAGCGCACCGACATGTCGCTCGTGGCTGCGTAGTTCCAATGTGCACCACCTATGGACATGGCCGCTCTCAGGCCTCTCTCTGTCTGCGACCGCTCTTCATCGATTTCTCCGTTATGCGTTCAATCCGATAAATAAGCACGAGACAGAGTTAACTTATAATCCTCAAATATTTAAATGGCCATAACACATTTTATAGGCGACAGAAAAACAACGTACACGTATATATACAATAAAAATTCGTAAACAGAAGAAAAAAAACAACATAACCTTTCAATTAGTATGACACGTACAACGACACTTGATCACGTTTGTTGGAAGGAAAGATAGAGAATGGATCACGAAGACGAGTTTCTCAATATCTTCTTTACACAGGTTGCTCAGCTGTGCTCTGACAAAGCCAAAGAGACAGTAGTGAGTAAAATTAATATGCAACATTGAATTAGATAATTTATACCGTACATATGTGCATAAAATATAGAATTCGAAAAATACATAACATATGTACTTATATGTTATACACGCACATTTAAAAGAAATGTACATTTGATACAGGAAAAGGAAAAGGAATCATGCAAGCAGATGCAAATGGGTCCTTGGGGAATGCTCTTGATACATTTACCACAAGTAGCTGTAGCTGAACGTTCATATGCAGATTTAGGTTTTCTTCATACTAAAAACAAAGGCTTTCTTAGGAAAGATGTACGTATCTAACAATGTAAAAAATTTTCTAATGCTAATTTATTATTTTCAAATTTATGGTTTATTGGAAAAATTTCAAAATTTCTCAACTGTCTTTCTTTGGTCAACAAAAAATGTTCATAATTGCTTATTTCAAACTTTGTGCAATGGTGTTTGAACAGAATTCTTTGAAGACTGTATACGAATCATTAAAGGCTGATTTAAAAAGACTGGAAGAAATGACCAAAGGAACAAATTCCATTGGTGCAACAGTCGCCAGTGTTTCCAGCCAGCTTTGCCAGTTCATCACGGCAAGAATCCAGCTGATAGATTTGTCAGTATATCAGTATTTTGACCTTCTATCTTTAATCTTATATTGCAATTGTTATATTACAGCTATGAGAAAATGTATAATATGAATATAAGTAGCAAAGTTATGAAGCATCAAGAATTGTTGCAGTGTATAGAAGGGATAATAAAGTGCCATTTAGTCTCCTGTTCTCATTTAGCATTAACTGCGATTAAAACAAGTTTAATGTAAGTATTTTGTCACTTTTTTCAAATAACTTATAAATTCTTACACGCATGTATGTGTGTATAAAAAACTAAAAATTTTCTTGCCATTTAGATTAGAATGTGAAATACTAGAACAACTGATGACGGCGCAAGTGGAAGTTCAAAATTGGAGATTCTTACCAACTCTGATGGCTCTTTACGCAGCGCAAACACGAATGTCGGCCTGGGAAAGAACATTACAAAGCAAAGAGGTGACTGTTAATTCGTGCTGTCAACTAAAATTCAAGATCAACTCTAATTTTTTATGTAATTCAAACATTTTTTTTTTTTTTTCAGTCCTGGAAATTGGGCTTCGGCGCGACATTTTTGAAGGCAAATCAGCAACCGGCTTTGTATCAGTGGTTAGTAAAACTTCGCAGTGCTATACTGGCTAAATGTTCTTTGTATTTCTACACTACTCTGAGCCAACAAACCAATGCGGGAGAAATGAGAAGCGTTATGAGCAAGCAGAATGTAGACTATTATCATAAGTAAGGATACAGAGATACGATGGTTTTTTTTTTTTCGTGTTATTTGCAAAATCTAACGAAAACATAAAGGTGACGGATTTTATTTTTTTAGAATACAAAGTTTTCAGCGGAAGCATGATGTGCTGGCAGTGCTGATAATCTTCGATTCCAGAGGAGCTGAAAATTCAGGTTCAGGATACAGGCATCCGGGAAGAGGAGCAGAGTCTTTCGAGTGCTTCCCTATTGTCGTTTGTTGTCCTAGTGTAAGTTATCTCTATTTTTTTTTTATAAATATATTTTATTACTGTTTTCAAAATAATTAATATATAATATAAAATTCAAAATTTATATTTTTCGTGTATTTTTAATGTGTTTTCAGACATTCGTACAAAAACCATCTGCGCACCTGGACAACATTCAGGCCAAAATAAAGGAACGTCATGCGGAACTTCTTGCCATGGACAAAGTTATTTATCACAAAAACGGAAAGGTACGTAGATCGGAAAATAATTGTCAAATAAATTTATAAATTGATTTATCTCTGCAGGATTCGTGTTCGTACGCTTTCTACAACATCGATCCGAGAATGACTCTCGTCGTCGCGTTCGAGAACGGGAAACAAAGAGACAAGGAAACTCACATTACGTTATTCATGACGGATCTTTCCATGCATATTAGATGCAACAAGGTTTACGAAAGTCTAAAATTATCGAAATGAGTGTGGATACGCAAAACTATGTAATTATGAGAATATCAAATTGTACCAAAGACCACCTGATTGTTATATTCAAAACTTGTTCCATGAATGTATGGTTGGTATGTGAAAAATTACATTCATTTATATATTACATTTATATTATTTATGTTACATATATATAAAATGCGCGTATTAAGAGTATTTCAAAATATAATTTAATTGTTACATTATGTATTATGTTCATAATGTCCACAATTATTTCCACTTTTAATTTTATTTGAAAAAATCCTTCAATTTAAAAAATTTCACAAAAACTCGCTTTTTGTTCTAGAAATCAATTAACCTCGAAACTGAATTGAAAAGCGTCCCGCAACGATTTAAAATGTCGAGTTTTTACAATATTTAAAAAATTACTAAATATACAAAATTTTGAAAATAGCTTTTTTGCATAAAAAATTGTTGGAGAACATCATAAAACACTCCTTGATGGAGTTTTTCAAGTTAATAGTATTTTTGACTAATACAAGTTGTGAATTGTTGGATAAGTTTTAAGTTCATTTTAAGATACTGTACGGATTTCATTGGTTACATATCACATCTCAAAAGAAACGTAAGATAGTCTTAAAAAATAATATTCAATTATCAATACCAGCCATACTTTCGATTTTGATTTTTTTATAACTACACTCTGTTCAATGAGAGAATATCCTCGGAGCGGATAAAAACTTGTCTGTTTCGCGCATATTCTCTATCAGAAAGCTCTCCCACCTCACAGCTCTCGGCTGTCAGCGAGTATCCCGCGCTCCCCACTTTGCCTGTTTTGCTTTCCCTATGCGCAGACCGAGGATATTCTCTCATTGAACAGAGCATACAGAATTTAACCAGAATTTATAACACATTAAAATGTTAAAAATTCATCCAAACATAAATTTCTAGCTTAATGAAGTTTAACCGGTTCGAAAATGATTCAACTCGACTCGAAAAATCGCAAGAAAACAATGGGGAATTGTCCGCGTCGCCGTGGAAAACGCTTGAAAGTTAACAAGTTTTTAAACGTCACTAGATAGGGAATTTTTTTGAAATTTTCTTTTTTCTTTAAAATCCACGTCAGAATATTGAAAAACGGTCGGCGTTGTATTGAAACGTCAAAATTTACAATTTGCAAAAATTCTTTAATATATTAGGAAATTTTCAAAAGTCGGTTTTTTCTGTCAAAAAAAATCGCATCAGAACAACGCAGCTCATTAAGATACAAACTTTTTATTATTTTTAAATATCTCTTGATGAGAATAATTTTGTAAACCTGTAAATTCACACTGCGCTAATTTCAAATGCGCTTCGTGTCGTTGTCGAGTTTCATAGACCGTGTTTATCTTATGTTACATTACAGTACTGAAAATCTATATTGTGTACTATACATACATATATATATATATACTTTATCTGACACATACTATACTCAATGCGTGACGAGTATCGCGCGCGAGAATGTTGTGCATATCGCGCTTCACACAAGAATATGGAGTGGCGTACAGTGGTGATAATAGTACTGGTCGTGAGTCTGTGTTTCTTTATAATACCGATCAGAGTGGGGCCGGACAAAAATTTCGAAGACGCTAAACTGTTCGCGGAGTATGTTACTCGTTACAATAAATCCTACAAGAACAATCCCGTCGAGTATAAACAACGACTCGAACACTTTCAGGTAAACGATAAGATGATTTGTCAGACAAGCGATTGTATATATACATATATATATATATATAGTTGCGCAAGCGATGAGCGCGGAAATCGGTTTTGAATTTATTTTGTACTATAATTTATAATTAAATATATATACAACGCATTTCTGTGTTTAGTCTTAATCTCAAAATTGACAAAATGTTTGTTAAATTATTTATTTATACACGGAGACTTTAGTGTGTCGGTTGATTGCAGAGATCATTGCGACATATCGAAAAGATGAATAGTTTTCGATCGTCGCAAGAAAGCGCGCACTACGGACTGACGGAATTCTCCGACTTGTCGGAGAATGAGTTCAAAGAGCGAGCTCTGCTTTCCGACTTACCCTTGCGGAGTAAGTTTGATTTTATTTAAAAAGAAGATAGTGCTTTTCACAAAACCACAAAAACATTCATAAAAATTGTTGATGTTACACGAGTAAACGAGTTGTAAAAAAAGTTGTCATAAGAGAAAACTCGATCGGTGCAAATGTAAAAGACAATTTAGAGTTGTAATATTTATTCGCTGATACGAATGTAGACGCTTTTTATCTCTTAATCAGGCCAAAAACACACTACGGCTTCGTACTATTATCAGCATACATCGGATTCGATTGATCACACAAAAAGAGCGACGATGCCGCCTAAGATCGACTGGCGTGAGAAAGGAGTTGTCGGGCCGGTTCTGAGCCAGGAGAGTTGCGGGGCGTGTTGGGCGTTCAGCACTATTGGGATGGCCGAATCCATGTACGCCATCAAAAACGGAAGTTTCTATTCCTTTAGCGTGCAGGAAGTAGGTCATTACATATTCCTGACACGTTTCTCCGTTTTTTCGAGCGAGGAAACTGCTGGAAAATGCGCGCAAAATTTCAGGCAAATTCCTCGCGAGAATGTTTTTTTGCGCGCTTTATAGATGTGATCATCTTTTGGAACAGCTGCATCGTTTTTTTTTCAAATCTCTTCTCAGCAGTCTCCTTGCAACGCAATTTATGTCGCTCATATACGTAGGGATTTTCAAAAGAGTGTTTGTTTACAATTTTACGGTATTTGAAAGAGTCTCGTGGTATAACGATTCTCTTGTACAACACGCTTAAAAAAATTGGAAAATTTTTTAAAATCTTTTTTGAATCCCTACGCGCGCGCGCGAAATGTTAATTATAAGGCGATTAAGTTGAATTCTCATCTCGCGACATGTTATGCAGATGATCGACTGTATGCCGGGCGATTACGGATGCCAAGGCGGTGATATATGCAGTTTACTCTCGTGGTTGGTAGAATCGAAGACCACAATTGTCTCCGCAAGCGCTTACCCTCTCACATTGCGGGACGACGCGTGTACATTGTCTAAGAAGTAGGTATATGATATTTTTCTAGAAAATTTTTAAAAAAATTTATATCAAAAATTTCTTGAGATTTCTGTAATTGCAATTGTCATTATAAATAAATAATGATACAATATCACGGATCTTAACGTGAGCTGATATTTCAGAATTTCTGCAAAAACATCCGGAATAAGAATAAAGGATTTCACATGCGACAGGTAGATGAGTTAACGTTTGTTCAAATGCTCTTTTTTTATCATAAAAATATATTCACTGCGCGTTTATTTCGTTTTTTTTTTTATTACACAAAATTCACATCGTGTCGAACGAAAATTCCAATTTTTGAGTATTAAATCGAATCTGTTCCAGTTTTGTAAACGCCGAGAGCAAACTTCTGACACGGCTTTTTACTCACGGACCTGTAGCGGCTGCGGTGAATGCCATATCTTGGCAGAATTATTTAGGCGGTGTGATACAGTATCACTGCGACAGTTCGTTCGACAGTTTGAATCACGCCGTGCAAATAGTGGGATACGACTTGACAGCGAGTATACCGCATTACATTGTTAAAAACTCGTGGGGGCCTACGTTTGGCAACAAGGGTTATCTTTACATCGCAATCGGTAAAAATTTATGCGGTAAGGAATTAAATACGAACGAGCGCGCGAATGTAATGATTTGTGATTCGCGCGAATACATAAGTTATCTATGAATTTGAGTGTATGGATAAATAAAATGCTAACATATATCGTATGTTTACAGGCATTGTCAATCAAGTTTCGTCGCTCGATGTTGTTTGATTTATATTATAAAGTTCGAAGTTTTACTTGTGAGAGATAAGTAAAAAGAGGAACTAAAAGAAATTGAATATATTATAATAACGTAATATATATACGTATATTGCAATATAACTATATATAAATTTTTTACAGAGAACAATACGTCGAATTCAGAAGTATGACAATAAAATATTCTATTACGCACGCATGTATATGTTATAATAAACATTGGCATCTTGTTTTAAATCATCTTGTGTATTTAATTAACATAAAATCATAAATAATTCTTAGGGTTTTGAGATTCTTTTGACTAACTGTTATTTTAATGTTATTGTAAAGTATAATTTTAAAATGTATGATCTATATATGTATATATTTTACTTATAACAGATATATATATCTTTATATATATAATATAAAATTAATTATTACATGTGCAGCATAATTGTTATTTAACATTTCTTACATTACAGAAAATGTTAGAAAAATTTGAACCTATCAGAGTCAGAATTTCATTAGATCTGCCTGTCGATTTAGAAGCTTATTATTTAAGAGTCTTCTGGCTTATCTTGATTTGCATCCACATCCCAACCATTCCAAGCGATTGACAGCTTCGTTTTCATTTGCTTTGTCAGCGGCGGAATCATGTGACGAGGTATCAAGAACGTCGACAAGTTGAACAAATCCAGGAAGACTTTATACCTATCACTGTGGGTAAAAATAAATAATTTTTAAATTAATCAATTTTGGAGATGAAAAATGTAGGTATTTTAATTATACATATAGTTTATTATATATTTATAATGTTATACTTTATATTATATATTATATACAGGGCGTCCCAGAATTGGTTTAACATCTCTCGTAGACAGGTAGAAGAAATAAAACTAAGGTGAAAAGTCCTATACCATTTTGCTAGATTCGCAATAGTTAC